GTGTGCAATTGATTGTGTTGTGTTATTGATTGCAAATTCACCTTGTTGATTAGGTGTGCACATTCACAAGTTGTTGATTTGTTGATTAAATCAAACTTGTTTGGTTGTTGCTTTTGGATAAAGTTAGTTTTGTGGATTTCCTTTGGTTGCAAAAGAGAGCAGTTGGTGGAGAGCTTCACGGGTAAGCTTTCGGACCTTGGGATTTATCTCTTGATTATTCCACCAAGCCCTGAAAGGGTGTTGGTTTGTGTGGTGTATGTAATTGTAATGATTGGTTGTTTAATGCTTCGATATATGTATATGTATGCTTTGTGTGGCATAGGATGATGGTTCCCTATGTCTGTGTGTTGCATGATGATGCATAATTCATACTTGGTAGATTCCCTGATCAGTAGGACTATTTTGTATCTGAGTATCTTGTGGACTATTTCATAAATTCACCTTCATCATCAACCTGCTGAAAGTGCATTATATGATAAACTAGTGTGGCATAAGGAAGAGCACCATAATTCTTAGCTTTCATCAACATAGAGCATATGTAGGCAGGCCAGTTAAAGTCAATCTCAAAGCGAATCACCCACATAAGAAAGGGATCATAATCATGCTTACTTGGAAAGAATGATAAGGATTGAAAATAATCAGTGAAAATGTATTCAAAATGTCGTTTTGACAATCTTTAGAATTTTTGAATTTTTGACATAAAAGTTTGCTTACTTGTGTTGCAAGTAATTGATACATTGGACTTTTGTTGGTGGAGATTGTGTTCATTTGTATTTAAGGTTAAATCAAGTGAGCAAGTGAGGAGAAACCAATCTATGGAGGTGGATTGAAACTTGAGTTACTTCAAGTATAGGTAAGTTTACAACCTTGTGGAATGATGTGTTGGATTGCCTTAGAGTTATATGAATATATGTTCATATTCATATGTGTGCAATTGATTGTGTTGTGTTATTGATTGCAAATTCACCTTGTTGATTAGGTGTGCACATTCACAAGTTGTTGATTTGTTGATTGAATCAAACTTGTTTGGTTGTTGCTTTTGGATAAAGTTAGTTTTGTGGATTTCCTTTGGTTGCAAAAGAGAGCAGTTGGTGGAGAGCTTCACGGGTAAGCTTTCGGACCTTGGGATTTATCTCTTGATTATTCCACCAAGCCCTGAAAGGGTGTTGGTTTGTGTGGTGTATGTAATTGTAATGATTGGTTGTTTAATGCTTCGATATATGTATATGTATGCTTTGTGTGGCATAGGATGATGGTTCCCTATGTCTGTGTGTTGCATGATGATGCATAATTCATACTTGGTAGATTCCCTGATCAGTAGGACTATTTTGTATCTGAGTATCTTGTGGACTATTTCATAAATTCACCTTCATCATCAACCTGCTGAAAGTGCATTATATGATAAACTAGTGTGGCATAAGGAAGAGCACCATAATTCTTAGCTTTCATCAACATAGAGCATATGTAGGCAGGCCAGTTAAAGTCAATCTCAAAGCAAATCACCCACATAAGAAAGAGATCATAATCATGCATAACAGAGTAATTAGAAGCTCTTGGAGATAGTATATGAGTAATCACATAGTGGAGAATCCTATTTTCCATAGTCAACAGCCTTACACTGAACTTTGATTTAGTGACAATGACTCCAGGTTCCACAATTGACTGAGCAAAATCATTTTTGTTATATTCAGGAAATTCATCAGTGTATTTTCGGCCCTCATAGGCATGACCAATCAGACTGGGCCATTGACTAGGTGGAACAGTAAAATACTTCCCTTTAACATCAGCTTTCAGAGTGTTATTTGCAAAAGTCATAGTGCAATAAAAAACTCGAACCATATCTTCTACATATTGTTCATCCATGATAGCCAAATGAAGCATATGTGCATGACCCGATAATTCACAAATTTCAAACCATTCATCATCAAGAAATTTAATATCTAAAAATTTGGGTTCAATAATATGCCTTTGTGCAAAATTCTTCAAGAAAGAAGCATGGTGAGAGGCATTAGAAAAATACCGACCATGAAGTGTGGAGACCCCTTGAAATTGGACAGACCTTATCCTCTTTCGCTTCTGGTTGGAGGTGTCTGCCATGGAAAACCCTTGGAGGTGTTGCTGATCCAGAAAAAAATTTCGAGAGGCAAAGATAGTGTGAACAGATAGAACATGAAAGTGAGGTCCCATAACCCTTAGAGACGCACCAACAGACCTTGGAGACGCACACAAAGGAGATGAAGATGGGGATGAGTTGCAGGAATAGGGTTTTGTGAAAGAGAGAAGGGAACAATTTTAATGAGGGTGAAAAAATAAAACATATTGGATGGAGGAAGGAAAAAGGATGGAGGTTCAGGAAGGGATGGGGTCACTATTTTGAACCCTAGAGGAGTGGTGGTGGATGATGGTTTTAGTGAAGGAGAGGGGATGAGGGAAAGAGGAATAAGAGGAACTTGGTTTCTTGCATTTTTCAAAATGTTGTCAGCCCGTGGGAATCGATTCCCAAAGGGTAGGAATCGATTCCCAAAGAGGGGTAATCGATTCACCCCATGTCTGAGAGATGAAAATGAAGGGATTATAACCTGTTCTTGATGGATAATGATATTGGATCACATACAAACTAAATGTTATCATTTTAAGCATATGAAATACTTTCTTAAACATGTATAAACGCCTCCAAAACTTCAAAATTAATGATGGATATAAGCAAAAGAATAAAAAGGGCCAATCAATTATACAATTAATCAATCACATATATGATACATGAATTTGTCCATTGAACTTCACATATACTTGTTACCTAAATCCTTTGCTTTTCCATCACACTAAGCAGATGAGGTACCTACAAAATACTTATTGGAAAGTCTCCAATGTTGAAGTTAGTATTGGAATCAAAATATGGTCGAAATTTTAAATTATTCATATATTCACAAGTATGATGGGTCAATTAAACCAATCCCTCTTCTTAAATTATAAAATACTTCATTTGGGAGAGGTTTGGTAAAAATGTCATCCAATTATTTTGCAGATTCCATAAATTCTAAAATACAATTACCATTTTGCACATGATCTCTTATGAAGTGATTCTTAAGTGCATTATGAGATTCTTGGAGAGATTTATGGCACTAGTGTTATCACACCTAATAAGGATGTGATCAAGTTCAACCCCAAAGCCCTTGAGTTGTTGTTTCATCTAAATGATTTGAGCAGAACAACTACCGACTGTCAAATATTCAGCTTCGGCCATGGACAAGGTCACACTATTTTGTTTCTTGCTATGCCAAGAAACTAAAAAGCAACCAAGAAAGTGGCAAGTCCTACTAGTGCTCTTCTTGTCCAATTTACGTCCTGCAAAGTTGAAATCAAAATAGCCTATTAAATCACATGGTGCACCCTTAATTCACCTATTGGATTGGGTCAGTCTTATCATGTAGCCCAAATTATTTATCAAATGAAAGATCCAATGTAGATTGCCTACATTAAGCAGCGTGGAATGTCCAAGGCAGTGACATCACCTCACTATGCTTTTAAAATGAATTGGTCAACTGAAAGCTTGTAATTCCTTTTCTTTTATTGATACTCGGACAAACCTAAAGTTACGTCAATGAGAACTTAAATCCATTTAACGAAGGCGCCAAAGATAACGACTAAATGCAGGAATGAGAAAAGGCAGGAGTTGTGGTCTGATCTTAGACGGTTACACTCGACGTTTCAGGAGCCTTGGCTCCTCGCATGGGATTTCAATGAAATAATCTCGGCTGAGGAGAAACATCGAGGTGCTCCAGTCGATTTAAACAGGTGTGCTTCCTTTGCCTCTGTCCTTGATGATTGTCATCTTTTGGATCTTGGTTCTTCTGGCCATCTTTTCACTTGTAAAGGTCCTAAATTCTCCCACTTGGAGTGAGTTTTCAAGAGACTGGACAGGGCTGTTGCTAATGCTTGTTAGCACAAAAACTTTGATGAAGTTGTTGTGGATGTTATTCCTAGGATATATTTCGACCATAGTCCTCTGCTCCTTTCCTTATTCAAAGTCTCAAATAATTGGGAGAATAGACCCTTTCGTCTCTTTCCCCCTTAGCTTGAACATCCCAACTTTAAAAGTGTCCTGGCTGAAAAATGGAATGAGGAGGATAACACTGCAACAAACCTGGCTGATCTGGTTCCCATTCTTCGCGAGTGGAACAACAACACTTTTTGCATTATTCATAGGAAGAAGTCTTCCATTATTCGCAGGCTTTTTGGTATCCAAAGAAGTCTGGAAAAAGGGGCATAATTTTTTCCTTGAAAGACTCAAGGTGGAGCTGTGGTGCGACTTGGAAAAAACTTTGGAGCTTGAGGAACAACTTTGGCATTAGAAAGCTAGGACTCTAGATTCAAGATGGGGATCTCAACACAAAATTTTATCACACTACAATCACAGCTAGGAGACAGAGAAATAAGATTCTAGCCTTGAAGAATGATGTGGGAATTTGGGTTAGAGGAGTTTCTGACCTCAAGAAGCTGGTGACAAGTTTTTATCACAGACTGTTTGAGGAAGACCATGAGAATAGGAGTTGGACTGATACTTATGTGCAGTGGCCTCAGCTTGAGACAATGCAATTACAGGCTTTGAATAAACTGCTAGCTATTGAAGAGATCAAGCTTGCTTTTCTTTTTTTTTCAGATAGGACCCACAAAGCTCCTAGGCCTGATGGGTTTGCTGCAACCTTTTATCATAGCAATTGGGAGTTCCTCGCGGAGAAGGTGTGTAAAGACGCCAGGATGTGCTTTGACAAGCTTAAGGAAATTCACCAGATAAACAAACCTCTTCTAGTCTTCATTGCTAAGGTGGAGAACACGGAGAAATTGGACCAGCTGCGTCCCATCGCGTTGTGCAATGTGCTTTATAAGGCTATATCCAAAATCATTGTGCAATGTGCTTTATGAACAAACTGATTTCGCCTTTCCAGACCAGTTTCGCCCATCAGAGAGACATTCATGACAACATTATCATAGCGCAGGAAATGACCCAATCTATGAATAGGCTAACGGACAAGAAAGCTTATATGTCCATCAAGATTTATCTTGCCAAGGCTTATGACTGTCTAAATTGGAATTTTGTCAGCAGGGTTCTCTTAGAAGTTGGCATTCCCTCCTCTTTGGTCGGTATAATCTGTAGCTGCATCTCCTCCTCTAGCTTTCAAGTCATCTGGAATGGTAGTGCTTCTGATAATTTTTTTCCTTATAGGGGAATCCGACAAGGTGACCCTTTATTGCCTTATTTGTTCGTACTCTGCATAGACAAGTTGTCCCACTTAATTGCTAAAGCTGTCAGAAATAAGGGTTGGAAACCGATGAAAGCTGGCAGGAATGGGCCCCTAATCTCACATCTTATGTTTGCGAACGACTTAGTTTTATTTGGTGAAGCTAGTATTACTCAACTTGAGGTCATGTTAGACTGCCTAAAGAAGTTTTGAGACATGTCAGGGCACGTTGTCAGCATCGAAAAACTATAATTTACTTCTCTAAGAACACTGGCCAAGATACCAAAGATGTTATCACTCAAGCTAGTGGTTTCTTATCTGCTAACTCGTTAGGTAAGTATCTAGGCTCTATGTTGTAACATGGTCGTGGAAAACAAAGAAATTATTCCAGTGTCATCAATCGAGTTAAATCTCGTCTTTCTAACTGGAAGAGCCATCTCATCTCTTTTGCGGTTTGAGTGACCTTAGCAAATTATGTGTTTAGCTCTATTCCGAATTACCATATACAACAAGGGTCTCTTCCTCTCTTTGTCTGCAATGAGATTAAACAATCCCAACACTCTTTTATTTGGGGCGATTCCGTTGAGAAAAAAAGTGCACCTCATAGCTTGGGATAATCTATGTAAACCCAAAAGGGTTAGGGGTCTCGAAATTCATAACTTAAAGGTTCATAATGAAGACTTCTTTTATAAGGTAGCATGGAGAATTCTTAATAACAGGGAGGTGCTTTGGGTTCAAGTTCTAGTAGGGAAATATGAGAGGAATGTGGGTCTTAGAAGACAACTCATAGCACAGCAGTATGATTCTAATCTTTGGAAAGGAGTGGACCGTATATAGAATGGTTTTCTTAATAATCTCCAATAGAATGTTGGCAACGAGAATGAGACTTTCTTTTGGTTGGACAAGTGGACTAACCTTGATAACCCTCTCATAGAGTATGCCCTGCCTATTGTTGAAATTTTTGATTTAGAGATTAAAGTGGCTGATTTGGTGGATCCCAGGTCTGGGGTATGGAATTTCGAGTTACTGCATAAGTGGCTTCCCCTTGAGGTGGTCCAAGCCATTCGTGCTAGCCTCCCTCCAACAGATGACAGGGGTGAGGATTGCTTAGTGTGGAGAGAATTTGTGAGGTCTAGGTATGTGGTCAAGTCAATCTATAGCAATTTGATGAAGTTCAATAGTTTAGTCCTTGATCCGATTTGGAATCTGAAATGGAAATGGAGAGGTCCTCAAAGAATCCGCTCCTTCTTATGGATGGTATCTCATGGTCGTATTCTTACGAATGAACTCACATCCAAATAGGGAAGTTCCCCTTATTGCCATATTTGTAGTAACAAAGTGGAAGGTATCACCCATGTTCTTTGTGATTGTAGTAAAGCAATGCCCATCTGGAACAGCTGGTTCGCTGGTAACATTCCCTCGAATTTCCTTACTTTACCGTTAGGAGTGGCTTCGGAAAATTTTTCTCGTAGGTACTTAACTGGAGAGACATCTTTGTTACCACAATTTGGTTTCTTTGGAGGTGGAGAAACAATGACATCCATGACCCTTAATTTTCCAGTCCTACTAATCCCATTCAGTTAATCTCTGTTTATATCAGAGACATTAGTGTTAGCCTGAATTCCAATTTGTAGGTTCAGAACTTCAACCCCCCCAGGCCTAGGATAGCTTGGTCTGCTCCTTGCCAAGGTTGGTGGAAACTCAACTGTGATGTTGCTGTTAAGAGGAACCAATCGTTCACCTGTTGTGGTGGCCTTATAAGGGATGATCAAGGAGCTTGGTTCACAGGTTTCAATTACAGGATTGGCATTTGTTCCCCTCTTATGGCAGAACTTTGGGCCATTCTGGTAGGTCTTTGGGTTGCCTAGGATAATAGTCCTCAACTCTTGATGGTTGAAAGTGATAACTTGTTAGCCATCCAAGCCATTACCAGCCCAAAGAATGACTCCCCACATCATCAACTAATTTTCAGAATCAAGCGCTGGTGTAATTTGAACTGGCAGGTTGTCTAAGGAAATTATTGTGCTGATCACTTAGCCAAGAATGCTTTCTCCTCTACAGAGAATTTCATTTTGTTTCCAGTAGCTCCTGTTGAGATGGGTCCTCTGTTGGACTCTGATTCTCCTTTCTCTTAATCTTTGTTTTGGGCTTTGCCCTTTTGTTATACTAAAAAAAAAAAAAAGATAACGACTAAATTTCTAAAAGGGAAAACATGTAAAATGTAAAGACCTCGGTTCAAATATAAATCATCAAATATGGAAAGCAAACATGTAAATCATGCGCTCTTTTTTTCTTTTCTTTTCTTTTTTTTTGGAACAGTATGTCGTGTAAAATTTACATAAATACTTCCAATCTGTCAACGACTTATAATGAAATGTACATGTTTCAAGTTCAATTATATGTTAATATATAGGGGTTCTATTTTCTCATGTTGTTGGAGATAGCTATCACTACTATAGACACACGGGATGGTGGGGGCCACCACCCATTAAAAAAGAAAAAGAAAAACTGGTGATATAATTTTCTATGTGAGAAGAACATGAGATAATTATCTCATGTAAAATGATAGAATGATTTCCCTAATATATATGTAATGAAAAGTATGAGACTTCATGAAGGAGTTAAGGTATCAATATTACACATATCAAATACTTAGGGGAGATTGGTGGATGATCGCCTATAACATACCTGGTAAAACAGTAACCAAAAACAAATTTCATCAGTATAATTTTGTCAATTATAGCACTGGCCTTTGAAAAAAAAAAACTGCTTGTAGTTTCCCTGAAAAGCATTTTGCAGGGAATAAATTAGAGTGATTGAAGAAGCAAGTGTTGTTTCTTTTACTCGGATGCCAACTCTCTACCATTTAACACAGCAATCTATTTAATTTACATGGTCAGGGGAAGCATTATGAACCATGAAGAATGAGTTACATTGACATTAACATGGATTTATCTCTCTCATTTTCTGGTATCAACAGAGCCAACCCAAAAGCCTAGACCAAGTCATTGCATTAACAGGAGGGTGAATATTAACCTGAACTTCAAGCCAAGATGCACAGAACAGAAGCACATAAATTGGGATGGTGGAAGATATGCAGCACTCACAGCTCTCAATCTCTACCTCATCAGTCAAAGCAATTTGCTCAACAGTCATCTCCACTGTATTGAGTTCAAAAGGAGTGACAGGGATCATTCTCAAGTAAGTTAATTTAGCCCTGCTAGTCCAGGAATTTAAACTAACCAGTGTGTCAAAAAATAACATTGCTTACCACTTGGTTTAATAGAACTAGTGTCTGAGACTGAATGAGTCAAACTATGAAACAAATATAACATAACCATAATATGAAATTGAAAGATACAGAAGTACAGTTGCAGTGTGTTATTTATACTAGAATCCTGTCTGCCAAAGGAAGTAGGGCATTGGTTTCATCATTCCCCTGTTAGGAAAAGTGCTTCACCAAACTGATACGAGAGATTAATTAATCTTCGGATATTGATGGATAGGAAAAAAAACATAAACAAAGAAGTAAACTAGCTTCTAGTTCTGAGAATTGGTGGTGTGTAAGAAGCCACAGGCATCATAAAAGCAGAAAAAGGAACAGTGGTCACATAAGCTTTTAAACATTTATGATATCAAAAGAATCCAAGAAAGTAAAGGAATGCTACAAAAGAATGTTTTAATTTTATTAATTAATCTCTTATTTGGTAATTAAAGTATGGAATTGAGCTACAAGTTCGGATCTAAGCCTATGAAGACTATAACCATATATCTGTTGCAGCCTTGCAGGGGCGGATACATCTTTTACAAAACCCCTTCAACAAATAAAGATGAATGACTTCAATATTATGTAAACAAGCAAAAGAATTATGATCTCGAGTAGCAAAATAGTAATCGTTTACAAGGTTTCAGTTAAAGAAAAGAAGTGCCTGCTAGGCCATGGGGCAAAAGATTATGAGCAATTGCATTCCTAGCCTTCAGGGAGTTTACTGATCTCAAAGCAACCTCCAGCAACATCTAATCATCCACGGGATCAATCTTCATATGGGGATCCATTTTTTTCACCCTTCAACTCACATATCTTTACAGCAAGCCCCTAGGACAGAAGGAAAATCTTGCAGCTTCACCTCTGTCCGTTTCTGCAAGCAACACCACCTCCCTTTCAATCTCGCAAATGAATCCCCAGCAACCTTCTGAATCTCTCCAATCTTCTCATTGAATGCATGCTGTGTTTAAGATTCTGCTGAATATAGGGCACCGAAACCCAATCCATCAAAGGGTTCCCGGAGCTTCCAACAATCTACAGATCTTTCAGAAGTCCCCCATTAGCCCTATGGAAAAACGCAGATTTCTCAAACACCTGATCATCAGACAATGAGCCAGTCCACACATCAGTGAGTCAGTGACCACCCCACTAGGGTCAACACCATGAACCGTGATTGAATAGGAAGTCTTCTGATTCCTCTTTGTTGGGTTTCTCCTTAATAAGGTGAGACAAAGCATTAAAGCTTTGTTGACTACATAATTCCAATGCAACCTTGGAACAATGCATAGTGCAGGTCTCCATGCATGGAAAATTGATTTTTTTGCATGGCTCCATACATTAAAAATTCCCCTAATTAATTGGTGAATACTCCAGAGCATAGGAGAGGTTTCTCTTCGCCATCTATAAACAGAGGAGGAAAAGACGGGTTGAGGCAATCCACAATCCACAGGAAAAAGAGATCATCCAAGAGAGAGAGAGAGAGCCACCATTGAGTGAAGAGTTTGAGAGATTGTCATCCTCTCAAACTAGAGTGATTTCTCCAACAAAGGTGAGGGTGATCCACCAAATTAGGGGAGAGAAAATTTGTTGTAATGCACTCTATTAGTGTGTGGGGTGTTGTGTGCAATCTTCTAGCGGTATATTAGAGAAGAAAAATATTCTTGTAATCTGTAAAGAACCTTGAGATACACCACCCCAAAAGCTAGCTCAAAGGGTGGAAGTGCCCAAGACCTTATAAACTCCACATTAGTTGTACATACAACCAATGTAGGACTATATATCTCAACACGCCCCCTCACACAAGAGCCCATTGGGCTTGAAGAGTGGACAATGCAACAGGCCCAACCTACCTGTGCTAAGAAACGCCACAAGAGAAAGTGGGGGGCTGCGAGGCTCTGATACCATGTAAAGAACCTTGGGATACACCACCCCAAAAGCTAGCTCAAAGGGTGGGAGTGCCCAAGACCTTATAAACTCCACATTAGTTGCACATACAACCAATGTGGGACTATATATCTCAACATAATCCTATCATTCTTATACCGGAATATTTGAACCTCCGTTCCCGTGGTTTTTCCCTTCATTTTTTATAGGTTTTGCAAATAAAAGTTTGTGTGTACCGTCTTTATATTTCTCTATTTTCTTGTATATCATAATCACGCAAAGAGGAAAAAGGGTTTGCTTTCGCATTACTAAACTCATTTTTCCCAACAATGGTATCAAAGCTTGACTCAAGGGCACTATGTGATTTAAGAAGGAGGATACCATGATGATGGTGATATGTTCAAACTCAATGGAGAGAACTATTCCCTATTAGAAGCCCATGATGGAAGATCACCTATATCTTAAGGATTTGTACTAGCCAATCACAAATGAAAAGATGTAGGAGGAAAAGAGTGGGAACTCTTAAATCGCGAAACGAGCATGAGTCCATGCATACAATACTCACAAATTATGGACGAAACTAGAGTCCCTAATTCAATCGGTGAACGGCTTACTAATCGGATTCAACAGTATTAAATCAGTACCAGTTTGTTGAACTGGTTTTTTGGACTTTTATGTAAATTATGTAAAGAGTGTCACTATTGAGAATCAAACCTGGGAGCTTTTGAGGGATAACAGAAACATTTACCACTAGGTCAATGCTATTTGTTAGTTGTTATCAAGTTATTATTATATTTATTAGATAATGTTATATAAACTCAATTTGATCGGCCAATGACCCATTACCCTAGTCTAGTCGATGATTGGTTTGAGTTTAATAACATTAGTTGGATTATAAGTATGCTCGAGCACCTAAACACTTGTAAGGGACTCATGTATCAATCGAAAAAGATTGAGATGAAGTTTGATGATGAGTTGCAAGCCCTTCCACTCCTCAATTCCCTACTAGAAAGTTGAGACACACTGGTTGTTACTCTAAGGAAATCTTCCTTGGAAGGGAAGCTCACCATAGATACCTTAGTCGATAGCCTATTAAATAAAGAAGCCAGGAGAAAAGAACAAGGCACATCCAACCTGTTAGAGAATAGTATAAACCATTAAAAAGCCCTCACCCACTAGCTTAAGCTTTTGGGTTGAATTGATTCTTTACATAGTATCAGAGCCTCGTGTCCCGAGTTCGATCCTCACCGCCCCCTACTTTCTCTTGTGAAATTTTCTTAACACAAGTAGGTGGGTCTGTGCATTGTCCACCCTTCAAGCCCAGTAGGCTTTCGTGTGAGGGGACGTGTTAGAGAATAGTATAAACCATTAAAAGCCCTCACCCACCAGCTTAAGCTTTTGGGTTGAATTGGTTCTTTACACAACCAATATGAGGCCAATATCATCATGAATCGTGGGAGAAGTGAGAACCGTGGAAGAAGTAAAAATGACGGTCATGACAAGTCTTGAGGGCGGTCTAGATCTTGCACCAAAATAATTTGTTAGTATTGCGGGAAACTGAGGTACAAGAAATCTTAGTGCTGGATTCATAAGAGATTAGAAGGCTGACAATGTCAAGCTAGACCAAGTAAACCTAAAGAAGATTGAGGTGAAGTGCACTAAGGCCGTCACAACAACTAAAGATGATGATGTCTTCCAAATTGGAGAAGGTAATTACCTCAACGTTGCCTATGATAATTGTTCGTGGATTATTGACTTAGGTGCATCCTTCCATGAGTAAATTTCTAAAGGGGAAATCATGTAAAGAAACTGTAAATTAAATATGGAAAGCATACATGTGAGTCAAGCGCTAGTCATGCCTAAAATTCATACAAATACTTCCTATTCACGGCTTCTATTGAAATGTGCATGTTTCAAGTTCAAGTATATGTTAACATATTTGTAATAAAAATAATGGGACACTTCAAGTAGGAGATGAGGTATCAAAATGACACAGAAAATACTTACAGGAGAGTGGTGGATGATCACATAACCTTGTAAAACAGTAACCAAAAACAATTTTCATCAGGAGAATTTTGTTAAGTACAGCTCTGGCCTTTGAAACAAAGTGCCTGTAGTTTGACTGTAAAGCATTTTGCAGGGAAAAGATTAGAATAATTGAAGAAAATGTTGATTTCTTTCAGTCGGATGCCATTTAATACAGCAATCTATTTAATTTATATGGTCAGGAGAAGCACCATGGCATGAACCATGAAGTATGAATTGAAATGACAATAACATGGATGCATTTCTCTCATTTTCTGGTATCTACAGAGCTAACCCAAAGGCCTAGACCAGGTCATTGGACTAACAGGAGGCTGAATATAAGCTTCACTCTTCAAGCCAAGCTGCACAGAAGCACAGAAAATTGGATGGTGGAAGGAAGATATGCAGCAGTTCTCAAAAGGAGTGATATGGATCATACGCAGTAAGTTAATTCAACCCAGCTAGCCCAGGAATTTAAACTAAACCACTGTGCCTAAAATAACATTCCATTTCAAGTTGGCTTAACAGAACTAGTGTCTGAGTGAGAAGAACCATTAAACAAATATAGCATAGCCATAATGTGAAATTGAATGATACAGAAGCCCAGTTGCAATAAGAATCAGCATCATTCACTAGGTAAAAGCAAAAATGTCATCACACTCACACCGTATCTTTTTCTTACACTTCAATGTCAAGATCCCAGTCATTAAATGATGACCGTTGACTTTAATCAGCATGATTCTATTTTAAGTATAGGTCCATCCATTACGTGTTTTGCTCACGAACAGACAAGAAAAATATGCTTTTGGCGACATTGTACTGCCTGATATAAGCTCCTCTTAGGAATGCAATTTGCTATTTATAATGGAATCCTGTTTGCCATAGGAAATAGGGCTTTGGTTGCATCATTACCCTGTCAAGAAGAGTGCTTCAACAAGCTGATACGAGTAAACAATATTAATTAATCTTCCGATGATAGATAGATAGAAAATAAACTATGAAGTAAACTAGCTTCTAATTCTGAGAATTGTTGGTGTGTAAGAAGCCACAGACTTCATAAAAGAAGAAAAAAGAACAGTGATTATGTAATCTTTTAAAAGTTATAATATGTAAAGAATCCATGAAAGTAAAGGAATACTATAAAAGAATGTTCTAATTTTATTAATTAATTTTTCATTTGGCAATTAAAAGTATGGAATTGGGTTACAAGTTTGGATCTAACCCTATGAAGACTATAATCATATATTTGTTTGCAGGGGCATATACATCTTTTACAAAGCCCCTTCAACAAATAATGATGAACGACTACAATATCATGTAAACAAGCAAAAGAATTATGAACTCAAAGTAGCAAAATAGTAATCAAATACAAGCTTTCAATTAAAGAAAAGAAGTGCCTGCTAGACCATGGTGTAAAAGATTATGAGCAATTGCATCCCTAGCCTTCATGGAGTTCACTGATCTCAAAGCAACATCAGGCAGCATCTCATCATCGACGAGATCAATATTCAGCTCAAGATCCATTTTTTCACCCTTCAACTCACATATGTTATGCAGCACACAGCAAGCCCCAAGGACAACAGGCAAATCTTGCAGCTTCACCTCTGTCCGCTTCTGCAAGCAAGACCACCTCCCTTTCAATCTAGCAAATGCATCCTTTGCAACCTTTTGAATCTCTCCAATCTTCTCATTGAAGGCATGCTGCGTCCAAGTAAGATTCCGCTGAGTATAAGGCACCAAAACCCAATCCATCAAAGGGTACCCTGAGCTTCCAACAATCCACACACCTTTCAGAAGCCCCCCATTAGCCCTTTGAAAAAGTGCAGATTTCTCCAACACCTGATCATCAGGCATTGAGCCAGGCCAACCAATGCACACATCAGTGAACACCCCATTAGGGTCAACAACACCCTGAACAGTAATTGAATAAGAAGTCTTCTGGTTCCTCTCTGTGTGCCTCTTGTTAAAATAAGATGCCACACTAATCTTAGGAGCTATAATGGGAACATGTGAGGTATACATAGACCCAACAACATTAGGAATCCCTGAAATGGACTCAAACTCACCCTTGACCTTCCTCAAGGTACCCTCATCAGGCCACTGCAAATACTTAGGCATCAACACAGTCTTAATAGCCATGCAAACCTCAAGAACCAGTTTGTGACAAGTTGATATACCTAAACCAAACCTCTTCGAAACAATCCTAAGAGGGTCACCAGTTGCTAACCTCCATAAACAAACCGCAACTCTTTGCCTAACTGGGATAGCATTCCTGAGAGTTGTGTCCTCTTTCACAATCGCTGAATTCAGCTCTTCACATATCAAATTAAACGTTGACCTTCCCATTCTAAACGCTTTCCTAAACTCTTCTTCAGGAAAATCATCCCTGTTACACTCATCCCACCATGCTCCTGAACGATCCTTCACCCAAAGCCTCCTCTGTGGACCACCACCACCACCACCACCACCAGATTTAACCCCTTCACTCTCTCCTTCTTCCAACCCTTCACAAGCTGCTGCAGCAACAGCCACAGCACTAGCCATGTTCCGAGATTTCTTCCTCTTAACTCTTTCAGATTCTACAACCTGATTGTAATAACCATCGAGGTTGGAGTAATATTGCAACATAGCTTTGGTCTTCTTCTTGTGATTGGTGTCCAAAGAGAGCTTCTCCTCCTCCGAGACCTTGTTGTGTTGTTCATTGTCATGATTCTCTTGTTCATCGAGAATCAACAAAGAAGTGATGATACCCTTCAATTCTTCCTTCTTCTTCTTGTTGTTCCTGTTCTTCTTGTTTGTTCCTTCTTCTTCTTCTTCTTCTTGGTTGTTGTTGTTGTTGTTGTTGTTGCTGCTTGACCCATCATCATCTTCGTTGTTTTTTCTTCTTCGCTTTCTGGTAGTGGCAGAGTTGTTATTATTGTTGTTGTTGGGGTCATTCATTTGGTCGAATGAACTCTGGAGCAAGGTGTATAGGTAAGACAATGATTCTGGGTCTGCAAATGTTGGGAGTTTCATAAAGAAAATCGAAAGGCACAAAGCTGTTTGGTAGCAATAGTTATGGTTTTGGGGAAGACAAAGTCAGAAACAAAAGAGAAACTCACAAAAACTCACAACTCGCAAGGACAAGACAAAATTCACATTCACTCTGTGCGTTGAGTTTTGGAATATACAATTTTTTTTTTTTTTATGTTATGTTTATATATATATATATAGCGTGTGAACACAAGGTGTGGTGTGAACGCGGAGTTGAAATTTGAGGAAAACAATAAATAAAGATGCCAGCTAAACAATTATTGCTAATCTCATTATTTAATTAACTTAAAAATGGGGCTTTGAACCTTTGGTTTTTCCTTCACTTTGTTTAATCTGCACATTACTTGGTTTAAGAGAATTTAACAAGTAAATGGGAATGGAATTTTCATACGTAAATTCCTGATGAAGTAAAAGCATTAAATATGTGGGGTTATATTAATATTTATGAAAAAAGATATAGATATAAAATTTTTACACAATCACATAAAATGATTCATTCCCATAGTAAATAATATATGAGATAGGTTATTTTATTTATTTTTTTATGTCTATTTTACTTATCATTTTTAAATATTGTTAAATCAAAAGTTCAATTTATTTTTATTATTTTTATCTTCTCTTAAGATTTTAATCTAATAATATTGAAGAATAGTACATAAGATAGTCATAAAAAAAGGTAAGTAAAATAACATATTTCATAATATATAATATATAAATCAAAGCTTAATGTTAATATATATAAATATGTAGGTTGTGTTTAGTTTATTTTTATATTTTAAGTTGATTTTTTTATTAAATTACAAAAATATCACTTTGTTTTTATTATTTCATTTAGAATATCACTAAATCAAACACTTATTTAGTATTAATTAAAGAACTTCAACATATAATATAAGGGGAATGATCTGTTTACAAATTTTTTGATAAATTTTTACAAATTATATTATCTTCTCCCGGGAGAACCTAGTGAAATTAGTGTCCTCCCGAAAGAAGATAATGTGGTTTATAAGAGTTTGTAAACAAAAAAGTTTGTAAATATAACATGTCTCGTAATATAATTACTAATTAATGTGGCATTTGAATCTTCTTTTATCTTTTTAATGTGCATGTGTAATAATCATTATCAACATAAAATGTAAATGAAAGAAAAAAGAAGCGCAAGATGTTTTGAAATTATTATAATTATACGTGATAATCTTTAAAAAGTAGAAAAGAAAATGAAGAGAATTGTTAAAAGGGACCAACGAAGGATGACGTAGAAGTAGATAGGATAGGAGGTTATGACTTATGAGGTAATAGTGGTGGAAGTGTGAACACGATTCAGGATTCGAATATTTTGAGATTTGATTTGGCGGTGTCAGGTAAAGGGCCGACGCGGACTTGGAATTTTCCTAACTCGTGTTCATATGCTGCTTACTTTCATTCATTAGCTGGGATTCTCAGATAATAATAAATAATAAAGTTACATAGGCCACTTATGATATTTTTCATATTCTATCTTAATTAGTTGTTTTTTTTATTCCATCAGACTCAATTTTTTTTTTTTGAAGTGAGTCAAATTATTCTAGACAGATATGAAAATGAGATTGTACAAATGTGGAACTAATATTATTAGAAAAATTTAATATAAAACTATTAAAATAATATTCACTTAACAATTTAAATTTTTAGGTCTTCACCACCTTTATTCTCTTAATAAATATTAAATTGTAAATTTTTTTTAACACAGACATATGAGACTATATATTATTTACCCTTTATCTAATGAGTTTTTGTGTGTCAAAGTAATATTTACATAATAATTTAAATTTTTAGACGAGATAATTATGGAAAGGATATTGTAACAATCAATTAGTGTTACTACTAATATTACTATCAATCAATTTCACTGTTAAATCAATTATGTTGATCCGGTGTGGAAACTTAGCCCTAAACACACAGATCCATTACTAAAATATCAGAGTACAAACATTTTACCTATTGAAGATTCAAACTTTAGCGAAAAATTAGGGGGTGATAAGGTTTTTCTTTATGTAATAATAACGGTGCATGAGTTTACTTTTTGCAAATTATATAAAATCTCTTATCGTAGACTTGGAGGAGACAAAATATTGATCAACCTGCCTAATTGGATAAAGTTTACTTTAATTTATATAATTAATGATAAACATTTTTTACGGAAATAAGAATCATATTGCAGGAATAATACTGTTCATTCATGCAATCATTTTTTAATCATGTGCTCCCGATAACACATAATTAAAAAAAATAATTTTAATATTACAACTACGTACTTTTCGAAAGTACATAATTAAAAATGAGTTGCAGAATATCCTTAACAGAACATTCGATGCATCCATATTTCTACCCCGGTATTTTTTTTATAGTTAGATTAAACTTTATTCGGTATACATTCTAAATCTATGTATACTATTCATGGCGTTTGAATTGACGCAAGATTTTTTAATCTAACATTGAAAATGTATATCTCATTGTGTGATTTCGTCTAATAATATTTTTTGTTTATATTTTGAGACTTACCGTTGGCTCCTTTTAGACGATATTACACTTGATACAATCCATTATAATTTAATAACATTAATTTCACTTGCGTAACATTCGAGTTCTGATCTTATTTTCTTCTGAATTTCTTACTAATTAGAAGCAATTATTAGGCAGACATATGGTTCGTTCTTTTCTATTAAGGCTCGAGCATGCGAGACTTTGACATTGAGCATGCACGTTCAGACTTCAGATTGCCCAAGATGTGTCCTAAAATTCTACACCTTGATACACTAATTCAACAATATACGCTGCTTTTGACCTTTTGTCTGTGTGGCCATACATAGCCAGGGTAACAAGCAAGCGTATGTGCTAAAAGTGTATGTTGTGCTATTATATTCTTATTAACTCAGCATGCACTCTGCAAAGAGTATCACACAATCACATGTATATAGTGCATTTTATGAGGTACTATATCATATGGTAGACGCACCAAACCCCAAATGCCCCCTTTTTCTCTTCTTCTCCACCCGCCTCTCTAAGCTCATTCTTTTCTTCACTCTTGCATTACGTTCTCTTAAGAAGTTGTGGGTTTATATAGTCTAAAATTAGGTTTGTTATATGTAACAAAAAAAAAAAAATTAGGTTTGTTATTGGTTGTGTCAGCCCTACATAGAAGGGATAAATTTTTGATACCATTGTTGTACCAAATGGGTACAACATTTTTCCAATTTTGAAAAAAAAAAGTGCAATTTGACAGAAAAAACAAATTTGAAAAGTGTTGAATTTTTTTTCAAAAGTGAAAAAATGTTGTACCTACTTGAATACAACAGTAGCACCAAAATTTTTTCCACGCAGAAGATATTAGTCTACCTGATGCTTTATGTGACAGTTTACTTTTCTAAGAAGGTTGTGATTTATTTTTATTTCTTTACAAGTGGCACTAGTCAATGCATCATGTGATGGTGTGCCATATGCACTGTATCATAGGCTTAGGTAAATAAAAATGGGAAATAATTTTCTTATGTTGTAGGAAAATAAGTATCTTATATTGTAGAAACAAGATTGTAAGTGGAACCCATAGGTAAGAGGAGAGAAAAAAAAAGAAGTGAGATCTATCCATCTTTTGTGTGTATAAAAAATTTAGTTATCTCATGCAAAATGAGATAAATATAACCCATAAAAAAAAAAAGGTTAGCTTGCTAACATGAAAAAAACGATCCCAATGTGAAAAATAATTTGAAAACCATCCCAAAATAATAAGTAGCCCCAAATTGACCCTAGTTTGATCAATTAGCCCAATATCCGGAGAATTGAAATTCCAAAGTTAGGTCTAAACCAGTTATGAGGACAAATTGTCAAATTACTCAAAAGATTTCTTCAACAAAATCCATAAAGGTCCCACAAACGTATTTGCTCTAGAATCTGAATCTAGAAAGCTTAAGTTAATTTGAAGGTAATATACTACTTGAGAATTGTTAATTAGATTTCCATATTTTAAAAAAAATAAAGTTGTATACAATATTTTTAAAATTTTATAACCTAGTCCTTACAGTTTTAAAAACTTTTAATCGAGTTTTTTGGGCGAAATTTCTTCCATTTTACCAAATGGGAATTTTTTTCTTTTTTTTTGCATTTCTATCCTCTCATTTTTTATCTTTGTATTCCAAAATCTTATCTTTTTTGGCAAAGATGTATATACATCTACTGCACATAAGGTTTTCTCACCTTTGGACCTCCCTGCCACCAGAATGCATGTCAACAAAGTCATAGCAAGATTCCAACCTTCCACCACCAGACACTAGCCTCGACCCCTACGTCACATGCCCAACGGCTGAAAAACCCGAAGTCCCGAACCGAATTCAAAGCTGATGTGAAAGAACAAGGGCGTGTCTCTTTATGGTTCATAACTTATTGAAGTGATTTTTAAGTATTCAATCTTCTCCATAATGAACATGTATAAGTACATCTTAAGATATGTACGCTTTTATTAAAACATTTACTTATGAACATGAACATGCCAATTTAAGAATTTTTCAACTTGTTCCTAAAAAAACACATTGTGTGCACACCTAAATAAATATAACCATTAACCCCTTGAAGCTTCCACCGACGGTCCAACCAAAATATTCTCTAACGCTTGGTTCACGTTAAAAGCCTAACAAAAATTCTGTCGTCCAAGTAACGTCTTCAACTTCAAAATTCGTTGGTTCTACGATAATACAACATCCGTCGTAATATTTAAACATAACAACAATTAGGTGTGTTAAAAGCTAAAATATACATCTGTTGACGTTGCACCAAAACTACAATGAATTCAAAGTAGATCCTTTCACGAGGGCATAATGAACGAGGAAGTCCTTGCATGAGATCCGAGGGAGTTAGGTATGATTCAACAAAGATTAAGATTTGCACAATAACCCCACATCTCACTCACCAATATTAAGATTCGCATACCAAGTTCACTCAACTCCTCTATGCAACAACTTTCTCCTCGGTTTTCCTCAGAGCCAGTTTCCCTACATAATACATGAGACACACCCGGCCACATGAGGCGCTCCCGTCAGCGCAGGGATATGTCAGCCTTCAAAACCAATCAGCTTTGCATATTCACGTAGCCATTTTGGCTCATGCAAGATCAAGTAAGAGATCTCCCAGCCCACTCACGTTCTCGTCTCTTTTGTTTGGCTTGCATCCTATTGAATTTCTCTTTTCCCTTTTCCAAGAGAGGGTCATGCACAACATAGTCATTTGGGTCCTCTTTGCGAGACATGCGGTCCTGCATATTTACAGAAAAATTACAGGCAAGATATAAGGCAGTAGAAAAGGACTCACTACGTTATTAGAATTCAGAAAGGAATTCTTTCAAATTATAAAATTAGTGTACATAGATTTCAACAAAATTTGTCTAGTTTCAACAATTTCTGCTCGGATTGATAGACAAGCTTAAAACTCAAACGATAGGTAAGGTGTACTGGTGTGGATGGAAAATATAATGATTTCATATCTAGAGGTTTATATATCTACAGGTCTTTACAGCCCCTTTGATAAGGAATGCAAAGAGAAAACTCACCTTGCCAGAATCGGGGGCAAAGTTTAAGCTAGCACGTTTCCAGTCAGACAATTCCTCACCATTATTATCTCCAGATTCACCAGTTGTGGGTGCCGCCTTTGCTGATAAAGCATTCGTAAATTTTTCAAGTTTGGCTAGAACCTGAAGATAGACATACAAAAAGAAAAATGTTACTCATAAATAGAGATTGAAAATACCCAAACATTTTATCCCCCAAAATACCCAAAAATACTTAGTGCTATTGTCCCCTACACCCTACTGATGTCCTTTGTAAAGGTTATTTCATTCGAACATCACTGCCAAACAGTAAAATACAACCATGCTGTTCTCCTCCCTGAAACACACAGTAATATGCCCTAATGGAAAATGCTATGGATCATTGATTTGACATATCAACAAAAGTTCAATTAGCTATCATTCATTTCTTCATTTATCTAGAAATTTCGAGCCAATTATTCTTAACATGTTTCATATCATATCAGATTATCAGACAAGCTATCATTCCCTGTTCATCACATTTCTTGACAGTCTAGAACGATCAGCCAGCATAAAGAATACAAAGGGAAAAAGAAAACAGAGGATAGAAAATCTAAATCGAAATATCATAACATACTTCATCTTCACGCCCTTGAATTCTGCGTTTCTTCTGCTTCCGCAACTGTCTTCCTCTCTCACTTTCATTCAATAGCTGCAAATCTGTATCTGCACTAGCCATTCGTTCAGCTCTTGCTTCAGATCCTACCCCCTTTTTCTTCAAGGACAATTTTTCCACCCTTGGTTGATCCTCATCAACACCTACATCATTGGACCTGGCAAGAAGACATTCAACCATTAGGCTACTCATATATGAGCCTAATCATAGATGATATCTTGTTTCATAGCCATAATGCCATATTATACAATTTAAAAGACCTAAAATTGATTTTTATTATATTATAAACCACCACCATTCAAATGTCCGTGCATTGACACTTGTGTGGCAATTGCTAAACAGATATTCAAGTTCTAAATGTGGAATAACAGAATTTCATATATTGATATTTTTACCTGGCTGCTGACGTATCATGGTTCTCTGGGCTTGACCTTCCTGCTTATGAAAATGATAAGATGGTGAGCCTTAATAATACAACAATAATTTTGAATAAGAAAAGTATAAAAAAAAAGGGAGAAAGATATTCTTAAGCTGTTCAAAAGAATCAGCAGATAAAGTGTTGGCAAGTTTAACAATTACAGCATTCACAAATTCGACAAACTTCTGCTATAGACTTATAAATTAAAATACATACCAAATCTCAGTAATCATTAATTCATTGCCACTATGATAATTAAATGTAATGCATCTTTGTATGTTTGTCACATTCATCTACTTTTGTAACTGCAAAATGGAGTAACATTTTCGTAGAGAGTTGAGAAAGCAAAAAGGACTTTATAATTTATAGTCAACATAATGATCCAACACATCATAAGTGGTTGCAGGTGTCTTGATTAATTGATGTCCCTATTGAAGTGTGGAGGGACCTGGGGATGTGACAATTAGTTGGTTGACAAATCTTTTCAATCAAATTTTCCAAACAAATAAGATGCCTGATGTATGGAGGAAAATTATGCTTTAAACCTATTTATAAAAATAAGAGAGATATATAGAATTGTTCTAAATATAAGGGCATTAAACTTATGAGTCATACTATGAGATTGTGGGAGAGTTATTGAACTGTATATCACCTAAGAAGAGAGACCAATGTCTCTGTAAATCAATTTGGTATGCCGGGAAGATTACCATGGAGGCCATTTTCTTAATACGATAATTAATGGAAAGATATCAAGAAAAGAAGGAGTTACATACGGTGTTTATAGATCTTGAAAAGGCGTATGATAGGGTTCCAAAAAAGGTTCGATGGTGGATTGATGGATTCTTGAGGAGAAAAACATATCATCAAAGTATGTAAAGGCAATGAAAGATATGTATGATGGTGCTACTACCTGTGTGAAAACTTGTAATGTAATATTAAATTATTTTCCTATCACAATGGGTGTACACCAACGCTCTGCTTTGAGTCTTTACCTGTTTGCTCTAGTTATGGATGAACTAACAAAAGATATCTAGGATGAAGTGCCATGGTGTATGTTGTTTGCAGATGATATTGTGCTTATTGATAAGACCAAGGCTGATGTTAACAGAAAACTAGAATTGTGTAGAAGCACATTGGAGTCTATAGGATTTACGTCAAGCCAGAGCAAGACTGAGTATATGAAGTGTGAGTTTACTCTGGCAAGAGATGGAGATCAAGATTTTGAGCATTTGCTTGGACAAGAGATACTCAAGCAAGATGCTTTCAAATATTTAGGTTAAATTCTGCAAAAAGGTGGAGAGATTGATAAGGATGTAAATCATAGAATCAGAGCAGGGTGGATGAAATGACAGTGTATCAGGATTTTTATGTGATCACAAGATTCCCCTTAGGTTGAAAGGAAAGTTCTATAGAACAACTGTAAGGTCTGCAATGTTATATAGAGCTGAATGTTGGACTACATATAGGAAACATAAGCATAAAATGAGTAGCGGAAATGATGATGTTAAGGTGGATGTGTGGTCATACAAAGATGGATAAAATAAGAAATGAAGATATTCGACGAAAGGTAGGAGTAGTACTAGTGGTTGAAAAGATGAGAGAACATAGATTGAGATGGTTTGGGCATATAATGCAAATATCTCTAGATGCTCCAGTAAGAACAAAAGTTTGTTACCAAGAACATAAGTTTGTTACCAAAAACTTGACACAAAGAGAGGAAGAGGACGACTGAAACTTACTTGGGGGAAGGTAGTAAAACAATACTTAATGAAGTGAGATATAGATTGGCGGACGATATGTCTTAGGAAGGATTGGAGGAAAGCGATTAGCATTGTGGAGAGTTAGACCCGTTTTTCTTCCTATGTTCCAAATAGTTCCTTTTTAGTCCTTCTTTCCTATGTCTCCTTCTATTTCTTTCTTTACCTCTCTTTTTCTTTTATTTCTCTTTTCTCCTCTCTATTTTTCTTCTCTTGTTTATTTATGTATTGTCTTTTTTTCTTTCTTTTCTCCTCTCTATTATGCTTTTTTTTTATTTCTAATGTCATTTAGATATATTTTCAATTTCATTTATTTTATTTATTTTATCCTTTCTTTTTCTTTTCCTTAATTTTTTTCGTCCTTTTCATTTGGGTTCTTTTGCCACTGACCCCAGCTAGTTTGGGATAAAGGTGTTGTTGATGTTGATAATAACATTAATATCTTCTAATCATTTTGTCAGTTGTTAAGATTTAAGACTAAAATTTTTATCCCTAATCATTCATTGATTCCCTTTTACAGGTGCTGGATGTCACTTCTATGACTTGGATCCTATCTCACCTTGTGCCTTTCACAATTTTCTAATTCTATTTTCAGAATGTTCACTATTACTATTTGTTTCTTGTATCTGTACTGGTGCAACAAGCATTACCAAAAGAGGGAGAAGTTTGATTCCATAATCTTTAAAAGTACCTCATTCCTTTGTTTAGTTTTCAAATTTATGTCTTGGAAGTAGGAAGTGACATAAATAATTGCCAAAACATTCATCTTCTGTCAGAGATGTGAAGGGAATAAACATGGCAATCTGACAGTTACTCTGATAACACAATGTCACAGTTATAAGCTTATAGAAATTTCCATGCGTAGAACCAGAAATACTTCCTAAATCAGAGGCTGGGAATTTACAAGCTACAATATATCACACAGCGATGATTGACGTACCATTTTGCAACTTGGGCTTGGGAGGGAGATCACCTATATCCTTCCGCTTTTTGAGTATTTGCATGCGCATTCTTGCATCAAAATTCGCTTCATCATCATCATCACTGGAATCAAGACGACCAAATTTACCAGTTTCTGAATCTTTCTGAGGCTCTTCTTTCTTTGAGCTAAGCGCATCCCTTACAGATAACTGCAGATTCCTTCTTGACGTACCGTCAGCTGAACTCTGCAAAATAAATACAAGCAAGTTTATATGCACAGCCATACGATGTAATTTTACAACATTAGGTTTACTTTAAAATATGAATTTTCAGGGTAAAATTATCAGAATGACTATGTAATACTGGAACTCTGGAATCTGTAAGCCAAAAACAGCTTCCATAAAATATAAACATATAAAATAATAAAAATTGCAATTAGTATATTGATGGTACCAGATTCTCAATTCACAATATTAACTTACAGATATTGAACACTACGACAAACAGAAATTATATTCCCAGAATACTCGTGCAAAACAATCAGAAAGTGTATCTCAAGGTATATAACAGTATGGACATGACACAAGTGAATTATCAGAAAGGAGAGAAAATCCCACTCCCCTGACCCCCTTACACCCAGCAAATGACACAGCCCATGTATCAATGGCTTCACCTCCAAATTGGCAAAATGCATAACCCACTCATCAGATTCCCCACCTTTTATCAGCTTCTCATTCTCAAAGAATCCTCACCTCCTATGCCTTCCAAAACTCCTTCCTCATTCATAGCCTGCCATGTGGCATCCTCCCTAGCTAACTCTCTTCCCTCTCCCATACTTGCCATACAGTTGTTAACAGTCCCTTTTCCTTGGGCCTTGCTTCTTCGTTCGTGTACTTCTTTATAAGGCTCAAAGGGCCCATCATATAAGCAATGTGTCATGCAAGAGTTCTATTTGAGAAACAGAAGAAAAACTAGCGGAAAGGCCTCATTACCAATTCATTATTAGTAGTTTCGTCCTTTAGAAGACGAGGATCATTCAAGACATCGTGACTGCTCCTAATCTTTTGCTTCACCAATGCCAATTCCTTTTCCTCTTCTTCAGTTTCTTCCCCAAAAGAAAGCAAGTTCAATTTTCTGCAATTTGAATTTACAAAAAAAGCAACATGTTGCTTTAAGAATAAACTTTTACAACATAAACTGCTTCATTGAGTGCAAACAAGAAAGTTAGGTAGGAGAGAGCACTTACTTTACACCTTTCTTCTTTGAATCTTTACTGTCTGTATCAGGTGTAGCTTTAATCTGAGGTTTCTGAAGTGTTCTTGGAACAATATCTTCAAATGGATTCCATAATACCTAGAACAAGTAGTTTAAGAAGATACTAGGGAGGTTAAATTCTGCCTTCCCTGAACACGAACTTTAAATAATTACCCGTGATGTTAATCAAAATCACAATCTACCTCAACTGATAATATCTTTGGAGGTGGATCTAAAGGCCGGTCGTTCTTATCAGTTTCAACTTCACCCAGTCTCAAAAGATTATACATTGTATCTCCCGTCACCTGAAAGAAAATAATAGTGAGAACAACCAATGTATCCCGAGAAATTGACAAATTAAGAAAAAGGTAAAAAAATAAGAAAAGGTTTGCTACAACATTATTGCATTTGCATCTGTTACCTTTCCAAAAATGGTATTCTTCCGATCAAGCCAGTCACAACGGTCTAGAGTTATGAAAAACTGACTTCCATTGGAATGCGGTGATCCAGAATTGGCCATTGCAACCAAACCTCTGTGCTTGAATTTTAGACGTGAATGAAACTCATCAGCAAAAACACTCCCATAAATACTTTCACCACCTACGTTAACAAACAACTTGTTAAAGAAAAGAAAAGAAAACACTACACAATCAGAAGTCAGTAACTACAAACCAAACGGCAATCACAACTCAATTAATCAGTTACTCATGAATAAAACAAAACCCGTATGCCTAGTCTCACCACGTTTCAATGATAAGCAATCAATTTAGTCCCTGTAAAATATATAGTCTTGGAAGATAAAAAGTACCATGTAAGTCTTGAAATATGTACTTTATTAGTCAAATTAGTTTCTGAAAGTGTTAACTCAGGGATTAATTTGACAAATGGAATCCATATCATATTTCAAGGACTAATGTGGTAAGAGATTAAAATTTACCACATTAGTCCCCAAAATAGAGAGACTTATTACAAGGGTCGGTGTTGTCACCAAAACCATGTAATCCAAAAATCACATGTTCCAATCAAGGATATAACCCTCTTTTTGCATTGCAGGAACTTTATAGCACCAGTTTGCTTCAAAATCTCTAAAATATGCATTAGGTGGGTCATATTATTGTAAGAAGCAGTTAACTCAAGTATTAATTTGATCAAATGAATGCATATTTATGTGTTAATTTTTACTGACTAATTTAGTTATTTACTCAATCTCAAAAACATGAAAGACCAAGACTCAATTAGAGCACGTGGGGAATTAGCTGTGACGGAAATTATAGAAGGGGGAAAGTTACCGGTGCCGGTGCCGGTGGGGTCGCCACCCTGGACGAGGAAGTCCTTGATGATGCGGTGGAAGATGGTGTTATCGTAATAGCTTTCGAGGCATAGCTGCACGAAGTTCCTTACGGCTTTGGGAGCCTCTTTGGGCCAGAGCTCAATGTCGATAGGGCCGCGCGTCGTGTTCACCACCACCTTCCCCTTCGTCGGGGGTTCTAGAACGTACACCGTCGACATCTTCTTCTATTCCGATCGCTCCACCGGAATCTTCTTCTATTCCGAACGTACACAGGGTTTGTTTTGGATTTCAGAACGATAACCAGAACTCCCTAACTGAAGAAAAGAGCTTAGCTCGGTGTAATTTTCTTTGGGCCATGGCCCTCCTTATTTACCATAAAAAAAAAAAAAAAGCAAGCTTAAACGACACCCCGTTTTCTCAATTGTATTATTATTATTAAGGATAAATAAGAATTATGTTATATGAAAAAAATTGACATCATGCAACTACTACCGACAACACAAATCTTTGAATTCCATGCATTTTTCATTTTCTTTATTATCATCTAGTTTGTCGTTTTCTTTGTAGGAAAAAAAAAATTATTTCTGTCACAAGACAAAACCAAAGCCCTTATTGTTATTATAGTTAGCGTTTATCTTTTATTATATCACATCACATGAAAAGTTATGTCCTGTCATTCCAAAATTATCCCCAAATTACATAGTTTTAGGAGTTAGGAAAATTAATTAAGGGTGTTTTAATAAAATTTATATAATAAATAAACAAACAAAAATATCAAAATTTTCTTCATTAATTCCCCTAACTTCTAAAACGACATAGTTTTCGGGTGACATGACATAACTTTATGTCATGTGACATAACAAACAATAAATATATATATATGGGTCAGGATCATTTTACACCAGTGTAAGTTACACTCTTAATCTTATCCGTTGATTTCATTTATATCTAACGACTAAATTTTTTTAGTAATGTGAGCCATTAAATACAAGTGGATCAATGGTTAAGATTGAGTGTAAGACTTCTAACTCTTACACCGGTGTAAGAATATCCTTCCCCTATATATATATATATATATATATATATATATATATATATATATATATATATATATATATATATATATATATGAGATAAGATCCTTTTTTTTTGTAATAAAGAGGGGCAAAAGCCCCAAACAAAACAAAAATTACACGACGCGAAAACTTAAAAGATCTACAGAAGCATCCTGAAGAAGGAGCTCTAACAAAGAAGAAGGAGGAGAATGATAAACAATAAGATTATTATCATCCTCAAAATGTCTAGAAGCAAACCAGTGAGCACATCTGTTATTTTCTCGAAAGGTGTGGACCCAACGAACATCCCAATCTTCAGCAAGCCATTTGTGAATACGGGAAACAACCTGAGAGTTTCTGTGATTGTTGCTCCCTTCTTGGATAGTGCTAAGAGCAATTTCTGAGTCACATTCCAACTCCACTCTCCTAACACCAGTACCCCAGGCCAGCTCTAAACCTTTGAGGATACCCCAGACACTACAAGAAAGGAGTCATGTAAAGGCGGTTTGTGTTATATATATAGGCGGTTAATGTTGGGAAAACTCGGTTCCCTCAAGCTCGGCTCAGGGGCCTTTGTGCGGAAGTCAATCAACAAGATCCTGATCTCGGATCTCGGCAATACCTCAGCCTGAACTTCACCAGGTCAGGCAGCGCAGTGGAACAATCAAAAACGAAAAAATCAAAATAGGAGAGAGAGAGAAGAAGAACACAACCAGTTTTAACGTGGGAAAACCTTCTCTAATGAAGAAGTAAAAACCCACGGGACCTAGTCTAGATCAAAAATCCACTATGATGATAATGGTTACAAATAATCAAATACACCAATGTGGTGGTTAACTCAACCTCTCCAACAATTGTGATAATCAAACTACCCTAGAGATGTTTCACTCAAACTCTCTCTAGAGATCTCTCAAATGCAAAGCATAAAGCTTTTGCTCAAACAATCAAATAATTCTGTCAAATTTGTTCTCTCAAATCTGACCTCTCAAAAATCTACCCTCTCAGATCTCACCTTGCCTCCACCCACAACAATGAGTATATATAGAGGAGGTGGAAATTAGGGTTAGGGATTTTAGAAAACCCCTCAAATGGGCTTGGGCTTAGCATTGAAGGAGGAAGCCCAACAAATCTCCCCCTCCGACTTCAATGCGACGGCTTTAGCATCAGCCCGGCTCCTTCACAACAGTCTTCAAATTTTCTTGTTGGAACCGGCTTTGACCGACCTCTGGACTTGTCTCGTCTGTCACGACCTCTACCTCGGCTTTTGCTTCTACCGCGGGAGTCGGATTTCCCTTTGTTCTCAGCAACGTTGGCCTCAGACGTACTCGAAGTACCTCGTTCTCTTCTCCTGGATTCTTCGCCCAGGAGGCTGTCTGTCACGACATCCATCTTCAATTTTCCATCTGGAGTCGAGTTATTCAGGGTCACCACCAGAGTATCCCAGCTTTCTGGCAGCGAGCTCAACAGCAGCAATGCCTGCAATTCTTCATCAATTTTCATATCAGCCTTTGACAGCTGATTCACAATACCTTTGTAGGTGTTCAGGTGTTCAATCATGAACATGTCGTCCTTGTATTCAAGCTTAACAAGTCGGCGAACCAGGTGTGCTTTGTTCCTGGGAGTTTTCTTCTGAATCATGGACTCTAATTTCGTCCACAACTCATACGCGTTCGTGAATTCGGACACGTGCTCAAAGAGGCTTTTATCAATATATTTCCTGATCGTGGCTACCGCCTTCCGACTCAGGATCTCCCACTCCTTATCAGTTTTGCCTGCTGGTCTCACATCAAGGATAATGGGCTCATGCAAATCTTTGCAGTAGAGATGATCTTCCATCATCGGTCTCCAATATGTGAAATTGTTTGCGGTCAACTTGAACATATCTCCATCATGAGTTATGCCACTGGTCTCCATCTCGTCTCCCTCAGAACCCGTCGAACTCGGGCTTTGATACCACTGTTGGGAAAACTCGGTTCCCTCAAGCTCGGCTCAGGGGCCTTTGTGCGGAAGTCAATCAACAAGATCCTGATCTCGGATCTCGGCAATACCTCAGCCTGAACTTCACCAGGTCAGGCAGCGCAGCGGAACAATCAAAAACGAAAAAATCAAAATAGGAGAGAGAGAAGAAGAAGAACATAACCGGTTTTAACGTGGGAAAACCTTCTCTAATGAAGAAGTAAAAACCCACGGGACATAGTCCAGATCAAAAATCCACTATGATGATAATGGTTACAAATAATCAAATACACCAATGTGGTGGTTAACTCAACCTCTCCAACAATGTTGATAATCAAACTACCCTAGAGATGTTTCACTCAAACTCTCTCTAGAGATCTCTCAAATGCAAAGCATAAAGCTTTTGCTCAAACAATCAAATAATTCTGTCAAATTTGTTCTCTCAAATCTGACCTCTCAAAAATCTGCCCTCTCAGATCTCACCTTGCCTCCACCCACAACAATGAGTATATATAGAGGAGGTGGAAATTAGGGTTAGGGATTTTAGAAAACCCCTCAAATGGGCTTGGGCTTAGCATTGAAGGAGGAAGCCCAACAGTTAAAACCGCCTGCGTTTTCTACATTTGGCGGTTAGTGATCCGCCTGGGTTATTACTGTCGAGAATCATACACAGGCGATTTCTATAAACCGCTGGAATATCAGCCAGTAGAATTTGAGGGCGGCCGACGTGACGGCCTATATCGTCAGAGGTGACTTCAGAAATGGCATAGCCCATGTTTCCAAGCGGTTAGATTAACCGCCAGTTCTAAACAAATGCAAGCGTTTATTTTGGCGGTTTATATCGTCAGACTGATTTGTGGAATTGCAATAATAGTTAAAAAAAGCATGCGGTTAGATGAACCGCCAGAAGCTCGAAATGCAGGCGTCTCTGGTGTCCATTAACTCTGTCTGCAAATTGACTATATGCAACGGTCTTTATAACCCGCTAGCAGATTTGCATATATTTCTTTTTTTAAAAAGCAAATATTTTTTATTTTAGTTTTATAACAAATCCTATATTGTAAAATTTAATAGTATCAGAGAAGGGAAATTTAAGCATTGAGTAGGATACTACAGAAAAAGGTAAATATGTATTCAATATTGTCATTAGGATTGATCAGTGCCATACATATTGGGGTGCCACTGAATGACCAAAAATATAAAACCTATTCCTAGGTAATAAGCAAAACATACCCAGGAAATTGCTAACACCCAAAACAGAATGAGTGAGTGACATACATATTGGGGTGCCACTGAATATACAAAACAACACAAAATATAGAACCTACTCCTAGGTAAGCAAAACATACCCAAGTAATTCCTACCATCCAAAACATACCTAGGAAATGCTTAACATAAAAAACATGAAAATTCAAAATATAATGTCAAACATCCAAAATAGCACTCAGTGTACAAGCAGTGGTTTGGGGAACTTAATATCCACAATACATGTTCCATCAAAAACTTTGAAATGATGTCCAATATTAAGATGATGGTGGTGAGGGTCCATGATTTGAAGATTCTGGTCCAAGAGAAGGATTATGACTAGCATTGGAGGACTTTCTAATTCCAGGAGATCCCAAGTCAGGAACCTGATATTGTGGGGGAAAATAAAATAGACATTAATCAAAGAGCCAAAGTGGGAAACAAAATATTTAGGTTAGGAACAGTAAAACAATTAGGCAATAGAACAGATGTATGAAATATTGACTTCCTACCAATTTGAGCTTTAGTGATTTTAGTTAACTTCGTACCCCATTTTCATAATTCAATCCCAAAATACCACAACGCTGAAAATTGTAACATTCAACCTAATTTCCTAAAGGAGCAATGTTGGTTTATGTGACAAGTCAACATGCACTATAAAACGACAAAAAGGCATAGAGTCAAGCAACACACATTAAAAAATGCATGTGATATTCTGACAGCATTGATCCAAGCAACAAATATTGATCCAAGTGACAGCAATTGATCAAACTTTAAGGTACATATACATTTTTTATCCAAGTGAGGGCAATATGATTTATATAACAAGGTGACAATATTTAGACCGGTGACAACAATTATTACAAGAAAATGATGATATAAATTTTAAAACCTAATATTAAATGGACATGAAGAGTTTTATGGCAGATGATAGCAATGTCAATTATATAACAAGGTCCAGTGACAATATGTAAACCACATTGGAAGTGACAACAATTAATAGGAAGAACAGTATTGAGATCTAATGTCAATGTTAATATGAAATGGACATGCACAATGCTGATCCAAATTATAAGGGTTTGTCAACTATATAACAAGAATGAAGATGATATCAGAAATCTCAAAGCAGATTTAAGACACATTTACCTCATTAGATGGCAATTGACTTCCAAAATTTAGCAGAAAATGTGCCATTTGTGCTTTTAATGTGTCAAGCTCTACCATCTTGTCTTTTATAGTGTCCAACTCTTCTTTTAAGGCATCATATTCAGCTTGTGTAGGACTACTGGAAGAAGTTGAGGCTGAACTAGTTGATGTTCTACGTATTTGGGATGGAACCACCCCAAAACCCATGCCTCTAACCCGACCTGGGTGTTCCTTCCCAAATACATTAATAAAAGCCTCTACTTCAGAATTGGTTTGTTGCATCTGTACTAGTAATTGATCCTGCATACAATCAATTAACGATCAGAAATTGAACTTGAAAGGTATGACAGTAATTAATCAAAATAAATTACAACAAAAATTGGTTACATTTTTCAGCCTAGCTTCCTCATTCACAAAATTTCCACACTTTTTCTTATGAGCAACAACATATATTTCCCCTCTGGTCATTGTTGTTCCACGTTCTATTTCCTGACATTTGGCATTGCACAATAATATTAGTTCCATAATTCTACAGAAGTGAAATATATTAATACTAAAGTGGCAATTTACATTATTTAAAGACCATACCAGCTCTCTTTTCCTCCTTGCAATGGTCTTTGAGCCTAGGGTATGTGGGATAGTTTGTTTCTGTCTATTAGCAGTATTGATTCTACTATATTTCTACATTGTATAGGGAAAAAAAATTAAGGTATTTGTTGGATACAAGTGACCACAATAAAAAATTAAAATCATCCTTCATTACCTTTGCTTTCTCACTTGTTTTATAAGTCAAGAAACTACCCCATTGTTCCCTTGTCATCCCATCAGGGAAATTTTCTAGATTTTACTCAAAGCTTTTGTCTTTTTCATACATTTCATTCGCTAGCCTCCACCTGTTGTCTTTCCATTTCTTACCCATATTGCCCATACAGAAATGATAATGGTCATCATTATCCACAACGAATCTTTTCTGGAAGAGAGTAATAAGCTCAAAATTAGACACAATAACGACATAATTATAACACGGGCCTGTTACAAAAGTTATGAACCATTGTTACCTTAATAGTGTTTAGCCAAACATCTTCCTTGTAGATGGGGGGTATTTTAGGCCACCTCTCATAACTTATAGGGAATATGTTTGGGTTGCATGCAAGGTGACCCAAAAAACCAAGCAATAGGGCAGCAGCCTCCCCGACAGGCTGATTGTCCTCATTCCATTCCACTACTACTTTCTTATGAGGAGGAAGTACCAATACATCCCGCACACGTAGTCTTTCCGCATCAGTCACTCCATTATCAGCTAGTACAATTTTGTTAATGCAAGAAGAAGATAAAAAAGAAATTGTAAGAATTAAAGGCTGTGTATATAAGATTAATACAAGTTTAAAATATTGGTTTAGGACTCAGTTACCTAGCACATCAACAACCCAGTATTTGTTGCATGTCCTTTGGGAAGGGTTTCGTGGTGGTCTTTGATCGGATGGCTGAGATTGACCAGAGACTGGTTCAGAGGCAGCAGGTGCTAGGGTAGGTTGAGCAGATGATGGTGGAGGTTCAGTATTTGCAGCTGCAGCTTGTGCAAATCCTGATTGAGCAGAAGGTACTTGTTGTTGGTGGATCACCAATTCATGTGGCTGAGTACTCAATTGTTGAGTGGGTACTACCGAGTTTTGGTTTTGTTGTTGCACATTGGTTGTCCCTTCATTAGCAGAGGAGGTTGTGGGATGCACCCTTCGGGTGAACCTCTTTGTACGTGCCATTGTCCTGCTTGGAAAAAAAAATTGCAAGCACACATAATAGTGGTACAAAACAGAGAAATCTCAAATGTCTATTTGGGATATAATTAATGAAATCAGGCAAACCAACATGTACACACTTAATGTAATATAATATTAAAACAAGCATTATACAATTTGACAGTAAAATTAGCATGTACATATTCATATAGTTCAAAACCTCTATTAGCAGCATGTACTCATACATTTCAGATAAACTAGTATGATCAGCAAGTAGACATATACCTGAATAGTGTACATAAAACCATAATTACACATTTGTATAACAAGTTAAAATAGCAAAGATAGTCGATGTACATATGTATTCAGTTTAAATTTACCAGTGTAAATCAGCATGTACTCAATCATTTTGGATAAACTAGTATAACCAAAAAGTACACATATACCTCCATAGTACCAATGAAAGCAACATTACACATTTTTTGGACAAGTTTAACCAGTAAATCCAGCATGTACAGACCTATACACATTAAATATACCAGTGAAAACAGCGTGTACAAGTTTTTATAAATTTAAACCAATAAAATCATCAAAAGTACATGTCTACTTTTGCATGCATGACTTCAATTTTCTTGTTACAAATAAAAGTTATGTAGTGATGTGATCAAAAACCACCACTAACCCGGAAGCTTTGCACAAAATACAAAATAACAACCATGTAAAGAACATGTAACTGTAATGAACCAAACTATTATCATATTCCTATTTCTTCATCCTCAGTTAGATTAGCATGCAAATTTAGATTGTCATCATCTGTGGAAGGTCTTGATAATTGAACAGGTATTGTGTCATCCACAACAAGATGGTCCAAGTTCTGTGATGGAAATTGGCTAGTCCATGTCATAATATCTTCACCATCTCTACTACTTGAATAGCTTCTAGTGTCAAACGTTCCATAAACCCCACTATTTTGAGTTTTGAGGTTGTTGTCTCTTTCTAAGGTACGAAATTTCATGCCATTTACATTAAATGCTTTGAATTTTCTAGCTTGATACAATGGACCTTTTGCCAGGGAAAGCATGATAGCTACGTCTGGTTGTTCTATATTGTTGACATCTACAATAATCTATATCACAATAAGTAGTAATTAAAATGTTAAGTATTTTATATTAAAGTTTAAGTATTTTATATTAAAGTTTACACTATAGTTGAATAAACTAATATGTGATACATTACTCACACGTTTAGAGAACCATTCGACAAACTCTCTTATGCACCCGCTTATCTATCTCTGCTTGATTTCGACTAGTTCTCCTTAGTTGCCTTTTAACATCGGTCCTAAATTCCCTAAATAAATAAATGACTTTATACTTAATATCATCACCACTTACTGAATGACAAGAAATTATATATAAAATACCTACGTACTTACTGAAGATATCTTTCAACAAGTGGGCAATTGGTAAGCACATGTCTATGCACTTGTAATCTTTCCATGTTAGTTAGATTGAAAAATGTTGATGCACCAATTGGCTTACCTACTTGGGGAAATAATTCCTCTACACGCGTTTGTGGCTGTGTATCAACATGAGCATCATCAACACGACTTGTTCGATTCCATCGAGTCTCGATATTGTCCAAGTATCTTGAGCAAAATGTTAGGATTTCTTGCATAAGGTACCCTTCTGCAATTGACCCTTCTGGTTGTGCCCTATTACGAACATATGATTTCAATTGTCCCAAATACCTTTCAATAGGATACATCCACCTATAGTGAACGGGACCTCCAAGCTTAGCTTCTTCAGCAAGATGAACTATCAAATGAACCATGACAGTGAAAAATGAAGGTGGAAATAACATTTCCATGTGGCATAAGGTTAGCACAACTTGACGTTGCATATTATCCAAATCTGTAACGCTCAACACCTTACCACATAGTTGCTTGAAAAATGAGCATAATTCAATCAAAATGCTAGATACATTATCAGGCAATGCTATTCTCGTTGCCAACGGTAGTAATTGCTCCATCAATATATGACAGTCATGACTTTTCAACATCCCACTGATTCGCATAGAATCAACATCAATGCACCTAGATATGTTGCTAGCATAACCATCGGGTACTGTGATATTCCGCAATGTCTTCAGAAAAGCCTTCTTGCCTTGATTGGTCATTGTATACACTGCTAACGGATATTTCCCGTTCTCATTTGGCCAAAGGTCATGCTTGCAACCTATTCTTTGTAGATCTCGTCGAGCATTCAAATGATCTTTTGATTTTGAGGAATCATTAAGCAAGGTGAAAATGATATTGTCGCACACATTCTTCTCAATATGCATCATGTCAAGATTATGACGCAGTACATTATGTCTCCAATAGGGAAGCTCAAAAAATATGCTCTTTTTCTTCCATTGTTGGGCGTTGCCTTGTGTATCACGATCACCAACCCGTAATCTTTTCCCTCTTCCACTAACTTCAGGTGGTCGACCAAAGCATGTATTCACATTTTGGACTTGTTCAAGAATTTCACAGCCAGTTAATATCCTAGGAGGATTGCGCAGTTCTTGTTTTCCATTAAATCTAACCTTGTTCAATCTAAACCGGTGTCTATGTGGAAGAAAACGACGATGGCCCATAAAACACCACTTCTTACTATGATAAAGCCGATAAGGTTCAAAGTCAAAGTTGCACACTGGACAAGCTAATGCAGTGTATGTGTTCCACCCAGATAGATTACCCAAACCAGGAAAATCACTAATCGTCCATAGTAAAGCTGCACGTAACTTAAACATCTCCCGTGTTGAAGCATCATAAGCATCTATACCATCATTCCATAGTTCAATCAACTCTTCCTTTAGCGGTTGCAAGTACACATCGATGTCATTCCCAGGCATTTTTTTTCCAGGTATTATTGTTGAAATGATAAATGATGTGGACTTCATACACATCCAAGGAGGAGTATTGTACAAGATTAGAATAATTGGCCAAATGCTATAGCTAGAGCTCATATTACCAAACGGATTAAAACCATCCGTAGCTAAACCAAGCCGAACATTGCGTGCGTCTGATGCAAATGACGTATGCAAGGAATCAAAATTCTTCCAAGCTTCTGAATCTCTAGGATGTCGCATCTTTCCATCACTACCACCATCTGTAGCATGCCATCTCATGTCGTTGGCAGTCTTTGATGACAAGAACAATCTTTGTAACCGTGGTTTAAGTGGAAAGTAACGGACAACTTTGGCAGCCACTTTACTCTTGGTATTCCTATGTTGTGGGTCACTTCCTTTGGCAGGTGGTTTCCATCTAGATGTGTTACAAACCTTGCAAACTTGTCTATCTACATTGTCCTCACCCCAATACAACATACAATTTTTTGGACAAGCATGTATCTTCTGGTAATCCAATCCCAACTTCGTAATAGTCTTCTTTGCCTCATAAAAGGAATTTGGAATTTTTGCATGAGGAAAAGCATCGTGCAATAGCTCCAATACCAAAGTCATAGCCTTGTCACTCATCCTAGTCAAACACTTTATATGATACAACTTCACAATAAAGGAAAGCTTAGAAAATTTGGTACTCCCTTCATACAAAGGTTGTTCTCCATCTTTGAGTAATTCGTAAAAATCATTCCCAGCAAAACCTTCTTCGTGTCCATTATTTGGCAAATCTTCAGCATTTTGCTGGCCATCAACCCCAAAAGCATCATTTACCATGTTTCTTATGGGATCCTCATGGACACTGTTGTCTTCTGGTACATGTAATATATCTGCATCACTGGCATTGCTCGTTTCTCCAGCACGTGCACGTGACTCTCCGTGAAAAACCCAAAAGACGTAACCTTCTGGGAATTTTGTGCAAATTAAATGGTCATACACTACTTCCTGTGAATGCCACTTTCCAAAACCGCAACCTGAACAAGGGCATAATATCAAACCCTCAGCGGAGCTATTTCTTACAGCAAATTCAATAAAACCTCGTACTCCTTGTTCGTATTCAACTGTATTTCGTGGTTTTGCAATCCATGATTTATCCACCCGCACTGAAAAAAAGCAATGCAGTGTTGTCAAATGCGGGTATATATCACCGGTCCTCATTGACAATGTGTATTGGTAACCACAACTGTTTGTACTGTTTGGGTTTGGGGATAGTTTACTAGATTTACGTTTACGGTTAGGTGGGGCAGTGATTATTATGATTACAGCGCACAAACGCGTAATTGGTACTATGCAATTTAATTGCAATGGTCATTACTTACTTGTAGTGTCGGAACTCCAAGTGGCTGAAGTTTCAACACTACATATATCAATGTATAACACTACGACTACCAAAGGCCAACAATCAACCATCATTGAAGAACAAGCGTTCAGTAACACAAAATGAATTCAATTCTTACCAGATTATGAGTTCCTTTGGTTTTGTTGATGTACTGCAAAAGATATTGAACAAGACTGGTTCTTAACTGCAACAAAATAAATAATTAAGGAAATTATAATATTATCTTTACAAGGCATGGACATGTTCCACTTCCGACCGTGACTCAAATCTCACATGGAACATAACAATTATTAAAATCACTTAGTAAGAATATGATCTTTACCAAAAGAAAAGCATAAAGCATGCATACAAAGTTAAAAAAAATCCAAGATCTTTACAAGGCATGTGTAAATTCAATAAAGAAAGAAGTACGATTAATTAAGGATAATAAAATTTAGTTCTAATAAATACACAATTTGTTGGAGTGCAAAATATGATGTGGATATCCACGGACCAATTCATACAAATTATAGAAAATGGTAATATTAATAATAATTACAAAATACTATACTTACAAGCCTTCAACTATACTTTCTCCCTTATCTTTCTCTTTCTATTCAACTCATTGTTCTTAAAACCTCGACGAATGACTATAACAGGAGTAGCCAACAAAGATAGAGATTAGAAAATATTAAATGGCAAAAGTATCAAACCAGGTCCATGAAAGTTTAATTTGGCCAAAACATACAACGCATAAGAACTCATACATATTGGAACCAGAGTTAGCTTCACGAACATTCTTGGTTTGGTAAATACAAAGTTGTTCACACACTTGCAGAACTAAAAACCAGAAAAATGCCAGTTCATGCAAAACTCATTTACATAGCTCAGACGATTACAAAACTCAAAGCCAGAAAACAAGTTACTGCGAAAAATGATATAAGCCAGGACATTAGATTATGCAATTCACATGTACACAGCTAACAAAGTTACATATCTCAAACCCATAAAACTAGTTTGTTAAAGAAAACGAGATAAGCCACAAAACTTAATTATATAACTCACAAAACGAAAAAATGACAGAATAAGGAAGACAAAATTTAAAATGAGTAAAACTTATAGGTTACTTTAATTTCAATAATCGTAGATGCATCATCGTTGTTATTTTATAAAAATTTAAAATTGAAAAAGTAGTATAAATAAAGGCTAAAACAGTTTTACTAGCCATCATGGTTGTTACACTTGGTGAAACCTATTAACTATAAAAATTGTGGTTTTGTAAAAAAATTTATTTCAAACCAAGAATTCAAGACTGGTTGTTACACGTTAGTGAGATTAGATTAATAAATAAGAATATAAAAAATTTATTTCTTTATAATAAGGCCTAAGTGGCAACACGTACTTCCTTTATATATTTTTAGAAAAAGAAGGGTTCCAAATCCAAGAGGGCAGTTATGAATGTCAAAAAGAAGTTTAACTAATCGATACCAACATTGGTTCAAGAAGATACATACAACCAAGATAATAAAATAATTTCAGTAACTTTTAAAAGATAAAAGGCAGATGGAAAATAACATTGCCCGAAAACAGAAAGATCATTACTGGTGTAAGAACCAAGTAGAACAAGCAATGATTCACGATAATCGGGATCTCCCAAATCCGTTTATTACAATATTTATATTCAGATTATATGTCACTCATGTACACAGCTAACACGGTTACATATCTCAACACCCATAAAAATAGAAAAATATAGAAAACGAAATAAGCCACAAAACTTAATTATATAACTCAGAATGAGGAAAATGACAAAATGAGGAAAACAAAAAACAAGATTTTGGTAAGAAAAATTATATTTTTTACAACATGCAGAAAAATAGACGGGAAAATAGAAAGGCCAAACAATCTTCAAACCGTTTACACATGCAGCAAAATAGATAAGAGGGATAATACAAACCTGTCGACCTGAAGAGCCGAAGAACTTTCCAAGTGCGCAAAAATCAGATTTAGTTACAACCCTTCAAACACTAGAACAAAAGCATTACATTAAAAGGAAACAATGTAAGACTGCCAACGGGGGTTATGGCAAAGGGGGATGGAGACAGATAAAATAAGGTAGCTATGTTGCCATCGCTGACCTTCGCTTGTGAATGAAAATGGAAAAGACTAACACGCTGATCCTATGGACCTGAAGAAATGAAGATCTTTCCACATGCAGAACAAGAAAGTCGAAGCCTGCAAAAACTACAATAATAGCAATAAATAAAAAAAGAATCAAAGGAAAAATGTCAATGGGGTTTAAACCAAATGAGGAAGGCGATAGAGAAAATAAGGTACATATGATTTATTTCTCAGACCTTCGTCTATCAATGGGGGTTAGGGCAAACGAGATAAAGATAACACCTTGGGGAGAGAAAAAGATAAAGCTTTGAGGGATCAGATTTGGCTGAGTGTTAAGACAAAAAGTCTGATGTGACTTTTTGACGCACAGTGTGACTTTCGAAAAACTAAGAGGGAATAGTTTTCACAAGGGAGGGAAAACTATCCGCCTCGGCAAAAGCACCAAAACCGTCTGATGCGTTTAATTTAAGAAAATATGTTCTTGATAACATTACAAACCATGCAGGCAAAGTGGCAAATTTCATACGATATTTCCTGTGTGAACGTGGCTTCGAATCCTCAATGCATTCATTTTAAATTCACTATCATGTATATATTTTTTACGCTTCAAATAAATCATACGATCTTATATATAAATTATAATAGTGAATATATACTATATTAATATTACGTATATAATTATAATAAATATAAGTTATTTTTAAACTTAATATTAACAAATCTCATTAATAAAAATAAATAACGCATATTTTTTTTTGTGAAATAAACAACGCATATTTAAGTGTTAATAAAAAGTATTAAAATAAGTAATGGGTATATCAAATATAAGTTATTTTATACATTAATATTAACCAATAATTTATATATATTAATAAAGCATAAATAAGTGTTAATTAATAGTATTAATATAATTATGCATTTTATCGATAATAATTATATATTATTACTTATGGAAAGAATATATATATATGGGAAATTTTTTCTTATTTTACAGCAATTAAAAACTTATCTCATGCAGACACAAAATGGTGGGACTATCGTTTCTAAAAAAATTAAAAAAATTAAAAAAATAAAAAAAATAAAAAATTTGACACGACTCCATGTATGTGCAGAAAAGACACCTGTACACACGTTGATGGAGAAAATCATTGCCCATATATATATAAAAGGTTGGTAGACATACTCCTAAGAAAGCCTAAGAAATGAGTGGCTATAGAAAAAAAAACACAAGAGCACATTCTTTGGTGATTATGGTAGACATACTAAACACACAACACGTGTAGATATAGTTAAATTGGACCAACCCCGATAGGTAAGTTAATAATGTGTATCGGGGTTCAACCATCTAACATCATTCACGTATATCGTAAATTAATATTTAAAATCTCATATATACGAAGATTGACATGCGTGACACGTTAACACTTAATCAAGCAATCTAAGTTAATACTATCTATCTATGGAGATGTATTTTTGTTATATGTCATTCCTCCTCTGTTTGTTGCCAAGTTATAAGAGGGTGTGTGTCAACACATAGAATTGTCAAATTCAAATTCTTTGCAAGTACGAATTGTTAATCGGTAAAAGACACCAACAAATGTATGTGAGAGTAAATCCCTTAGGTTTATTGCAATTCGGAGAGTAGTAGGTGAAATTATATACAAATAGTGTTCTGTGGGATGATCGTGAGTGGTTTACGTGTGGAATCACTTTGTGCCCATATATAGAAAGAGGGCACCCACAATAATTATGCAGGAGTATTAATTAATGTGTAACGCATGTGGCTCAGTTAAACAGAGATGTTCTACATTATAAACATACTCAAATCTCACATATAGTCAGTATACTGATACTTATTACTTGAATGTTGTCATTGGTTCAATCGGTGGGTAAGTGGTTCAACAACATGAACTGATTCAAGAAAATTATAAACATACTCAAATCTCACATATAGTCAGTATACTGATACTTATTACTTGAATGTTGTCATTGGTTCAATCGGTGGGTAAGTGGTTCAACAACATGAACTGATTCAAGAAAATTATAAACATACTCAAATCTCTATAAAAAATAATACTAACTGACAATATTTGAATATGGAAATTATTAAATCACACATATAGTCAGTATACTGATACTTATTACTTGAATGTTACTTCTATGGAAAAGGTTATACTTACTATCTATTTTTCTTACTACCTCTTACTACTAAATCTTAGTCGCTGATTTTCGTCAATCTAACGGTTATAATTTATTACAAATTAATAATTAATTAATAAATATGATCTCATAAATTACAATCGTTAAAATTTAAATATAGGTAGTAAGAGGTTAAGATTTAGTAAGAGGTAGTAGTAAATATGATCTCATTAATTAATAAATATGATCTCATAAATTACAATCGTTAAAATTTCCGTCAATCTCAGCAGTTAAGATTTAGTAGTAAGAGGAAGTAAGAAAAATAGGTAATAAGTATAACATTTCCCTACTTCTATAGTTAAAAACTTAATAATATATATATTATATATATATATATACTAAAATATTTAAACATTATTATTTTTCAAAATATTTAAATTTCTTAGTATCAGCTACTGCGAATGTGTGTGTTATTTTACTGGACACAAAACTTAGGTTATTTTAAGAAAGATAGACATAAAGAGGTGTGAGTCCCAACCAAAAAAAAAAGACCAAAAATGTAGACACAATACGTTTTTAA